ACTCATGCTCTTTAGACTTTCATTTTATTACTGTTTTTATTAATATTTTTTTTTTGTTGTTTGTCATTTTTATTCGTTATTTATAAATGTAAATGAATGAATGAAATTATTTAAAATGATTAATTTGGCAAATATTTGAAATAAAATAAGTTTTAGTTTTATTTCAAGTAACAAAAAAATGGTTTTATGGTTTTAATTTGAATTTAACAGTAATAACCCTGCCATAAACACAATTTTTGTTTGTTCTTGCAAGATGAGGGATGAGTGTAGACTATAAAAGTTTCACGCCAAAACACAAGCACGCAAAGCTTTAAGGTCTCTTTTATTTTCCGTGCATATTCATGTAGAGTGTAGCAAAGTATAAAGGCACTAGTCACTTTTAATTCTCACTTGACGACTGTGCAAGCACACTACATCTCATTTTTATTTTCAGAATTAATTTACATCCTCTCTCTTTCTCTCGGTGCAATCTGAATCAGAAACTGCAAACGTGATGCCCATCATGGTGGCGGCGATTTTGATCGTTCTCGGGCTGTTGATCGTCTTGCTGATCGCGCTGAAACGCAGACGTGGAGGAAGCGCCATCCAGGAGACCAAACGGGATAAAGACAAGACAACAGGTGGAGACTATGAGCAAATCCAACTCAAAGACAAGGATCAGGCGGTTTACCACACGCTGGGCGAGAGCACGAGCAAGGACCAGGCCGAGGGGGGTTACGAACCCCTACAAAAGAGGCAGGAGGGGGGGGTGTACCACACACTAGGACCTGGAGAGGGTCAGAGTGAAGGTCAAGGTGGGTACGAGGCTCTTAAGAGCGTCAAAGTCGAGGTGTACCAGACACTGAGTTCAGACGACTCAAAAAAGCCAGCAGGAGAAGCCGAGGGAGGGTATGAGCAGCTTCCTCAGAAAGACAAAGATTACGAGGCCGTGACAGTGGAGGAAAATCCATACGAAGAAGTGAAGAAACAGATGGCCAAAGAGAAAGAATGAGGGAATCTAGGAAAGAATAAGCACCATAATAGTCAAATGGCTGTTTAGTCATTGAAGGCAATGCAGCCTTTCTAAAAACCTTGCCAATAGTTAACACAGTTAATCTAATGCAGGTTCATATATTAAATGTAATGTATTAAAGGGATACTTGGTACTCCACCCAAAAAAAAAAAGATTTACACACACACACATATATATACACACATTATATGTAATGCAAGAGTACCTGCAAAGCTGACGCCTCAAAAACCACACAAAGCTAACACGACTGTAATCCACAGGACTCCAGTTAATGAATCAAAATCTTTTTAAGCAAAATAACAGGTGTGTGTATAAAAATACTGATATTCCAAACGTTTAAAATATTTTTACCTATAAACAAAGACTACATTGAAAGGGACTTTGCTATAAACCATCACTTCTTTCCAACCGTCCAACGTTCATGAGTTCACATGATGTATACGCGTAATGAAACTCGCTCGAGAAGTGCCGCAAAAGCACAGAGGACCGTCATTTCTCGCACGAGTATGACGTATTTCGTATACATTTGGGACGGCATAAATGATGATAATACCTTAATTTTTGGGTAAAGTATACCTTTAATATATTGAAGGTTACGATAATATTCTCAAATAATAAATTAAACAAAAGAAGCGTCACCTTTGGGATACGTAGAGATGTTCTGGAGGTTGAACATGACCTGCAATGATCTTGACCTTTTAACCTGCAAGCTACGTCAAAATTCTCCTCAAAAGTGTTTTAGGAGATCCCAGATAATCCACTGCAACTCTCACTGAGATCCGACTCTATTTCGATCAGAAATGCCACTTTATACCGTCACATCAATTCCTGAAAGACAAAACCAAATACCTTACTAATTTCACACTGAAGTATTCCCACAAGTTACTGGTGAAGAAATAGGTTAACTACTTTAACTTTAAAACGATTCAAAGAAAGAAATATAATAATCTCATAATATGAAAGCATATAAGCACATAAGCATATAAATATACAGTTTACACAAAAAAAGTAATACAAGATTACAGTTACCACACACAGATTCAGACACATTGAGAATTCAGATACATAATTCTGTATATAACAGGACAAAGACGACCAAAAAAAAAAGTTTTGTGCAATAACACAGAATGATTTAAAGCACATAAATTCTAAGGTATCACACACAAATAAGCATCAAACATAGTATATTTAGTGCTGGGCAACGATTAATCGCATCCAAAATAAAAGTTTTTGTTTACATAATATATGTGTGTGTGCTGTGTATATTTATTATGTATATATAAATACAAACACATGCATGTCTATATTTAAGAAAAATATGTTATGTTTATATAGAATAAAATAGAATTATATACATGTAAATATTTTCAAAATATATACTGTATGTGTGTGTATTGATATATACATAATAAATATACACAGTACACACACACATATATTATGTAAACAAAAACTTTTATTTTGGTGTAATGTGGGGTTTGGGTTTTGTTAGTGATTCATGTTCATTGCTCTTATGTCTTTTATTTTGTAGTTTGGCCACCGTTATGTTCTGTCATGTGATTCCCTTGTCGGTGTGTTATGTTCTGATTGGTTCTGATCATGTGTCTTGTCTCTCATTGGTTGGTTCTTGTCATGTGACCTGCATTGTTTGATATAAATAGCCCTCATGTTGCCCATGTCCTTGGTCCAGTATTGATGTTGTAACCCTTGCTGACGGTGAGTCTGTTCATGCCAAGTCAAGCCATTGTCAAGTCAAGTCAAGTCTTTGTATTTGTTTATGTTGGTTAATAAAGCTGCACTTGGGTTCATCACAACTTGCCGTTCAGTGGACTAACCGTTACATTTGGATGCAATTAATTGCGATTAATCATTGCCCAGCACAAGTGTATATATACTGTATATATATATATATATATATATAACTATCAGTAGTTTCACACAGGCAATTGCATTCACACAGAATTGCACCGAATCGGTTATTGGGAATATCTGTGTGAATTTATAGTTATACAGATTTTGCTATCTATTACAGATAATAATTATATTTCTCAGCTAGTGTTACTCTTATTCAACTGTAAATGCATTTGCACTGTAGTCTGTTTCATGGTTTCATCATGTTTATTTTCAGATCTTAATTTTAGTCCATGTGCATTGTTGTTTTGTATGTTGTTTTTATAAATCACTTTAAGAACTTAATGCATTTTCAGCTTTATTAATTTATTAAAAAAAAGCTTTATTAAATATCGAATTGAGCACAGCTGTATAACTGAATACAATATGCAATATTACATTTTTACTGCAATGCAACTATAATTCAGTCTTTCTCCACTAAAGGGCAAATTGGTGCCTATTATCAAACCCAGTCCTGTCGAGATTCACAACAAGAGGTCACTGCAGGATTGATTTGGTGTTGGTCGTTATACATACTGGTTTGTCATTTTAGTTTTTATACATTTTTCTTTTTTTCTGTTCCTCATAAATTCCTTGTGTAATTCTGAGTGTGTCAAATTAAATTGTATATAAATGAATCCTTGGCGTCTCTCTTGGTCTTGATACAGATTCATTGTTTTTTTTTGTTTTTTTTTAATTGCCTACTTCCGACAACTTTTAGACCGTTTAGATCAGATTCAAACGGTTTACAAAAACAAAAGTTAAAAACTGAAAATTTTCTTAGAAACATAAAGAAGAGAAAAAATAGAAATGACTAAAGCTGAGACTCAGAAATATAAAAACTATAAGACACCAAATTAGATTAGATGTGAATTGAGTAGTACATATGAGTTTAAAGAAACACGAAGTATAGACACTGGAGTAGAAACACTGGAGTATATTTACATATCAACTGTAGGCCTTTATTTTTATTAATATTTATTTTTATTTTATTAAATTTTTTTGTTTTTAGTGGTTTTTATTTTGATTTATTTATAAAAATTTTTGTAAGGTGGTTAAATTGATGGCCCACTTTTGCCAAGTGTGCTAGATAAAGTGGGCTGCCTTGAACCTTCATTAATTACTCACATTTATTAAATAAATTTACATTCACCGTTGGGTTTTTTTATTTATTTTTTTTATTATTGGCATGTAAAACTGGCTTCTTAGAAAATAAATGGTTTGTGCAGTCAGGAAATTCAAGTCAGAAGAAGGAAGAAAGGAAACAGCAGATGCAGAGTTTAAGCAGAAAGGAAGAAGGCCAGGCATGTGGAAACTGGAGTGAAGCCAGATGTAGAGTATAAAGCTTTAAAATATGGTCACAATTAAAGTTCATTTCATGTGTTTAGAAAAAAAAGTTTTACAAGTTTTAAAATATTTCATTTAAAATATCTCTCTTTTTTTTGATAGCCTGTCTGTAGTTGTTATAGTATTAAATGTATTAATTCTTTCCATCAAAATTCTGTTATATATTTTATATTTCATCAAATTAATTTTTTTGATAGATCAATTTTTATTTTACACATGAATTGAGAAAACTGTATGTTTTTGTTAAAGGTTGTTGAATATGTTTGTTTGATAATGTGTAAATAAAAACATTTCTTTTTTTATGTTTATGACTTCTAATAAAAATACAGGATCTTTTTTTTTATTATTATTTTTTTTTATATAAAATAGAGATGGCCCACTTCACCTGAAAAGACATTTGTCTGGAGCGCATGAAGAAAATAAAAGTTTTTTTTGTTTTTTTATGAAACAATAGGCCTATGTGTGCCGGAGGAACAAACAGTTACTTGGACTTGCACTAGGTTTATTATTGGCAGTCTGATTGTTTATACAGTTCAAGCCATAAACATTGGCGGCCCTCCAATTTGCATTGCTTTGACCGTTCTCGCACGACGCCACCATTGATCAAACTGCATGATCTCAATCTTCTCAAACCTCCCACTCAACAACCCCCCACCCACCTGCCTCCTGCCCCCACTTGTCCTCTTTCTGGAAAAAATAAAACATGGTCTTAAACAGTACTCAGATTGCATCATTTATTGGAGAACGACGATAGAGGATAGATCTTGCAGGTTAAATCTGATGTAAACAATGGAGAATATAGCAATATTTCTTGGATTTAACACTTTTGTGGACAAACAGTTTTTCACTGGACACTTTCTTTAACAACTTACACAAGTGTGACGGGTTGGATTCATCTCGCGATTGATTTTTCATAATAAAGGTATGAAAGTGGACCTGTTTTGATTTTGCATGTTTTCAGTTGTATCCAGACACAAATGACTATATAACCATTGAAGCATTAAAATAAACACACGATAGAATAAAATGAAGAACCTTTTTTTAAAAGATGTATGCTAGGCTATAATTTGTCAATATTACAAACATTTGTGGGAAGTAGTCTATATAGAAGCTAATAACAATAAGCTTTGCATGCGACTTTTCCTTGGTTTGATATTTTTGACCATGAAAACTTGCGTTTAATATTTTTTAAACTTAATTTATGAAGTTATAGTGAAATAAGGCGTTAGTTTTTAAAAGTAGCTTATTGTATTTTTTCCAACATTTCATATTGGTATATATATATTTTTTTTTAAACTGATTTTAAACACATCATTATTTATGCAGTTGTACTTCCTTCATGCAACATTTCAGTTTCATTAAACTGTCTGTGTCAATGCATCTAAATACCATTGATTTGAGCTGCTTCCGTTTCTTCTGCAGTGGAAAGATCTCTTCTGTTGATGCTGATTTCATTTGATTGGAAACAAACCTATAGTGTATTAACTGAAATTATTAATAAAAAGTAAGAATTTGATATGAAAGATGACACATACATTTAATAAGGTTTGGGAAAGTCTTTGTCGAAAAATCCTAAAGGATTCCAATTAGAAAATTGTACAGGATTCTAATTTGAAGTTCTATCATATTTTGGAACCATTCCTAAAAGATTCCTATCTAGGACTTTCTATACAAAGGATTTTGTTCTTATCCTGATCATTTTATTTGAAGCAGTTTGTTTACTGAGACAATGTGCATAGAACAGAATCATTTAAATAGGACGCCAATGGATCCCAGTAAGGGGAAAAAAAGAAAGAAAAGAAAAGAAAAAAAGAAAACTCAGGATTCTCAAGTCCTATAAGAATCTTTTTGGAATGGTTCCAAATTATGATAGAAATTCTAATTAGAACAATTATCTTATTGGAATCCTTTAAGATTTTTTGACAAGACCTGGATATCAATTTAAAAAGTAAAAATCAAAAAGTACATTTTAGTATGCAGTAACTTTAATCACATAAAATGCAATTTCCCCAAAAAAATTGTGGCCAGTGAAAATTCTGAGTGGCTAGTAATTTTGGAAAACCACTAGCCAGCAGCCACAGTGGTTTTTAAATAGGACGCCAAAAAAGTTAATGTCAAGCCCTGTTTACTACCTGACCTAACAGATGAGACAGCTAACACTAGCTGTGTGCTAGCTAACAGTCGTCAAAATTCTGACCATTATCCATCCAGTGCAGGGATGGGCAACTTTGATAGTGACGAGGGTCAGCATTTTTTCTCCTTTATACCAAGGGGCCAGATTACTAATCCACGTCCACACACCTTTTAAACCGTCTTACTCAATTTCCTACAACCTAAAAGGACAGTTAAAAAAGGCTTAATTAAAAAAAATATAGTTATTCCAAATGGTACCATAAAATAATCTGGTATCTGCAGGATTTTTAAAATCAAATTTAAGACCTTAAAAGACCTTTTTAAGATCTGCACTTCACATTTCAGCCTTTAAACAATTTTTAAGAAAAGGGTCAAAAGTATCAATTATTATATTAATTTAAACTATTATTATCAATTAATTATATCTTAGTGTCTTAATTGTTTAGATTTTTATAATGCATTAGCTTTTTGTCGATCCACTGGTTCACATTTAAAAATATGTAGCAAAAATAGCAGATGGGCTTATTGAAAAAGCAAATTCGTTCTCTGCCAGCAGGTTT